TTAGACCAGATGTAGATTTTTTTTTTTTTTTTTTTATAACCGTGGATGTTCGGGCCATCTTGCGCGCACCTCGAATAATTCCACGGGGTCCTGAAGTTTACGGCCAGGTACTCACCTCAGTGGCCCTGAGAGGACTCGAACTGGTGACCATTGATAAGTACAGAAACTAATGAACTGCCAACATGTAAATACTCCTCAGAAATTTATAAAAGTGAAACTACACACTTTGTGATTCACTTCACTTGCCAAGTATTAAGTAGTAAATTAGAATGTAGTCGCAAACTTTTAAGAGTAGTTACCAATCTGAACATGGACCAAAAGATAGTACCAATATGTGATGCAGATATCATGACCTATTTTATTGTTGATTTTTATTAATTATGTTTTTATTATTATTGGACTTGTAGTGGTGGGATGGCCCAAATTCGTCACTAGATTAGGTTTTTACTATTTATTAGATATTTTCATTGTTGATGAGTTGGACGATGAATGAATGAAAATTAAGTTTAGGCTTGTTGCCACGTTTTCCTCCCCTACTTCTTCCCTTTCCCTGGTTTCTTCTCCTGTTTCTCCCTCCTTTCTCTCCGGTGTCTTTATCCACTCGACATGGTCGAGTTTTCTCCCACACCGGGAAAGTTGATGCGGATATCACGATCTATTTTATTATTGATTTTTATTATTTATGTTTTTTTTATTATTATTGGACTTATAGTAATGGGTTGACATAAACCCGTCACTAGTAGATTAGGTTTTTACTATTTATTGAATATTTTTATTGTTGATGAGTTAGACGATGAATGAATGAAAATTAAGTTTTGGCTTGTTGCCACGTTTTCCTCCCCTACTTCTCCCATTTCCCTGATTGCTTCTCCGGTTTCTCCCTCCTTTCTCTCCGAACTCTTTCCCCATTCTTGCTGCTTTCTCCTATCCTACATCAAATTTGGTATCAGAGCTAAACTTGGATTCAACAATCCAACTGAAGGACTCCCAACCCCTTCACCAGTCTACTTATCTGTTACCCATACAACCCAGCCGGCATCACCACATATAACCACTGTCCAAACTGCAAACCACCAACTAACCACTTGCACAGCCTCCACAATTCACTGCCAAACCTGATTTCCATACAAAAC